CGAGCCAAGGGCTAACCCACCACACTTTTGTAGCTAGGCTTGCATGTTTGTGTATTTCTGCACAGAAGTAAAACATCTGAATTCACTTACTAACACTGACCTTATGCAACTATTGTCCTGTATGTCAAGACTAAAATTTCTATACAAAAAGGAAAAAATGGCTAGGAATGTTCATCTTGAATTGTGGATATGAATAAGATCTGGGAAGAAAAATGCTGTGGCGAAGGTGGATGATTAGTGATTATTTTGTATCTCATAACATAGGCATTGGGGAAACTGCAAAAAAAAATTAGTTTTTAGTCAGATTTAACATTAAAGTTCTTGCAGTTTTACGTTGCTGACCAGAGGTTTATGCTATGTTCTTTATTTGTGGGATTTTTTAAAATTACATACTGAAGACTCTGTAGTTAATAATTGTAACACAGTTGAAAACAGATTTCTGGTCAAAATAGGTAAAGGGAAAAAAAAAACCCCAACCCCTTTTTAACCTTATTTTATAGATTTCTAAAGGAAGGAAAAAAAAAGACACAGTTTTTTTAGAGAATGAAAGTTGGGGGAGGGAAGTGTGACCTGAATAACACATTACTGCCAAATAACTGCTGGTGACAGGTATCTTTCTGGAGTTCACAGATTTGTTTAGGTTACTTTGTATTGCCATGGTATAGTTAAGCAGAGGAATGTAGTACACATTAGATGCAAATGGATATAAAGACATGTTGTTTAATGTATGATTGATTCAGGTCTAATTTTTTTTTTTTTTTCCTTAGATTCAAGCACCCTTTAAGGACCAATGTACCTAATAGCTCATGGAAGAAAAAAGTCAGATCAGGACATCCTTGGTTTCCAGGCTACCAAAATATGGAATGAAAACTTTAGGAAGTGTCTTGCAACCTGTGCCAAATGGGATGGCTGTTAGTTTACCAGGGAATGATGGTGGCAAAAATTTTGGCAAGCAGAATGACTCTGTTCGCATGTCTTCCTTTTCTTTCAACTGGAAAAAATCAAATAAATATCAACTTAATGGTCAGAATGGGAGAGAAACCAACTCTAAACGTAACTCGAATGAGAAATTAAACGATTCTGAGAAGTACTCTCCATCTCAAGGAGCATTGGGTAATGATGTGCTCAGGGTGGATTTGAACAGTACTGCTTTGGTTGCATCAAAAACGGCAAAGCAAACCAATATGTTTGTATCTTCTTCTGAGGAATTAAACCCAAAGTCTTTGCCTGGACTCTCTAGTTCAGCAAAATTCACCAAAGGTACCCTGTCAGGAAGGACTTCGTATTCTGGACTCAATGCTCCAAAATCACATTTAAGTGGATTTTATGGAAACAGACCAGTGGCAGGGTTGCAGAGACCTAGAGCTAATTCCAGCACCACAAGGACAAGTTCAGGGGAAAGCCTGGCCCAATCTACAGACAATAGCAAGGCTCTTTCCTGTGAAAAAATGGTAAGATCGCAAAGTTTTTCACATTCCATTCAGAATTCTTTCCTTCCCACTGCATCTTTAACCAGGTCACATTCCTTTAATAAAGCTGTGGATCTTACAAGGCCATATCGTAGTCAAAATCTAGCTGCCAGGACATCTCAGAGGTCAACTTTGTTGTCAAGAAATGCACGTCAGTTGGATGTACCCAATGGAAATGAGCCTATGAAGTATGGTTTTACCAGGCCCTACTCTGGTATGTCAGCTCCTTGTTCAAAGAAGCCCCCACTGTCAAATGGGTCTGGATCAGCACCTTTTGGATACAGATTAAGTCGGCCTTCTCTGCTGAAGCCTACCAGGCAGCGATTTGCTGGAAATATCATTGTGGATGGCAGCAAAAGTACAACTCCTGAAACATGCATCGTGGACAACTCTGGAATTTCAACAAACATTAATAGAGCAATTGAGAAAAACAGTGTTATAGAGAGCAATGCTCAAAGAACAGAATCTGATGAGGGCCTGCAGGAAATTATGGGAAAACATGGGTCAAAAGTCATGTGTATGAGTGATGATGGAGATGAAATATCTATATCTTCTTTGTCATCCTCTGAAAAAAATGATTTGAGTGAAGACTTCAGTGATGATTTCATAGATATAGAAGACCCAAACAGAACTATAGAAATACAGCAAAAGCAGAGCTGCTTTCAAGAGCTAGAGCACAGGAGCATAACGTCTGTTGAGCTGTTCACTTCTCTCAAGGAAAGTGGAGGATCTTGCTGTAATGCTGGTGACTGGCTTGATATAAACATGTCTGGTAAATACTTTATATTCTGTTGGAAATTTTAAGTACTAAATCAAGATTCTGTAACTGTAATTAAGTTGTTTTATATAATTACCCATTGCTTGTGAATTGTTGCAGAATGGAACTTGGCTCTAGGCTGGCCCATTTTTTTTCTTACAGTGCTTTTTTCTGCATAGTAGTTATCTTTCCTTTGAACTCTTTGAAGAGTTCTTAGTGTTTGGTGTAAGACTTAATGATACCTCCTTTAACCACGCTTGTGGTAGGGTTGTGGGATTCCTCATGTCCTTGCTTTACCATTAATTTCTCTGGACTAGGGATTTTTAAAGAAGATTTCTTTCCCCGTACCCCTCCTCATCCACAGGCAGAGAACAGCTGTAACCACTCCTAAGTAGTGGGAATAAGTATAGGGTGTCTAATTAGATCAGTTAAATTATAAATATGAATATAACTTTTTTCCACTTTTCCAGAGGCATGCTGTATTAATTCTTTAATAATTAGTGGAAGAGACAGAAGATGTTTTTCAAAGCCACGTTATCAGTTCTCTGGTGGGCTTCTCATAGTACACGCTTGTTTTGAAAGAAGTTGCAGTTGAAAGTTTGGATCCAAAGGATCTAAGTTTGGATCCAAAGGATCTAATTTTGGACTCACCTTCCAATATATTAAAAAGATATAGAATTCTAGAAAGTAGTTTTCATGAATTAGTGCAGTGTAAAAGGCTAGCAAAGATGTAGGTTGGAAAGATCTGTATTTGTAGCTACCAAAACAGCTTGAGCTTTTATCCCCTCTAGGATGAATGAACAGTACTGTAGAATGCTTTCAGATATTTGTATTACAGTAAAGTTTCAGAAAAGTACTACAGCGCACCAGTAGTACACATCTTAATTTTTATTTTTGGCATATTGTATTGTTTTTGGAATCTTGACTGTTCCTGTTTTCTTTAAGCAGGGGAGGACAACAGTGGAAGCACAAAGCATACTGCCGAGAATGTGATTTCTCCAGAGATGAATTACAGAGCTGGGTCCTCTTTTGAGCTTTCTCCATCTGACAGCTCTGATGGCACATATATGTGGGATGAAGAAGGGTTGGAACCTATTGGAAGTGTCCATCCATGTGGAAGTTATGAATCTTCAGAAATGAACAGCATAGTATGTATTTATATGCATAACTTGCATAATTATAGTGGTTTGAGTTTATTGTTAGTTAAGTATATTTTTAAAACAGAATTAATGTATTTTTTTACCTGATAATTGTTTCCTCTTTACTCTGTAGTTGATAGCTTTTTGAAACTTCTTCTTTAGGAGCTCCTGTTCCTGGACAGGTAACCTTGATTAGGCTGTTTACATACATGTTGTTTCCTTATTCTCAAGTTAGGACAGAACAGGTCCTTCATTATGCAGTCTCATGGTAGTGCTCACAAAGAATGAAGGAATTAATTTCTGCAAATGGTGGGTTAAATATTTCCTACCAGTCTCTAAGGCTAGGAGTGGAAAAGTAAGAAAATAGCTATCACCTATCTGACTTCTTCCATTGTCTTCTTTCTGTACTGTATACATTTAGGACCCTTTTGAATTGAGCAACTCGGATTTTATTAATGCGATACTAACAATCAGAATTTCTAACACAAAGAATTTGGTATAATCAATGTGTCATACTTCATGTGTTTCAGCTGTGTTAAATACTGTGTCACCACCACTGCCAATTTAATAATGTAGATACCAGTTTTGGACTTGAACAGCTTTTGTGGCACCTACTCAGACTTTGTGGAGCAGAGGTGCATTAGAGGCCTTTGATATTTTTGTTTTGTTTATTTCTTCATTTATTGAAAGTAAATAGCTTTTAGAGAGGGCTTGAAAATGGAAGAATGAACTCAGTAGGTTTTGAAGAAGTGGGGAGAGGCGGAGAGTGCAGGTACTGTTGAATCTAGAAAGTCGTGTTATTTCCACCTATTTTGATTTTTAACCTGTTAGTGCTGTTCCAGAATTACAGTGCATACTGTTCTTTTTTTTTTCTTAAATGAGAGAAACATCAATAATACATCTTCTGTTTTTACAAGGCAGAAATGTATTTTCAGTCAGCTTGGTTTTTGAGGGGAAGCTGTAACTGAAATGTTTGTTGAATTGCCTTTTAGTGTCTTTTTGTTTGGTGTTTTTTTTTTTTTCCCTGTCCTTGGTTTTTTTGTTAGAAAGCATGATATACTTGATTTCTTTAGCCTAAAGATTAATCACTGTTTGCTTTTAATCTGAAGATGCAGAAGAATTTCTGATATTGTTTTTCATTATTTCTGAAGAAATATGTTCTTGGGTAGGTTAATGTAAGCTTTTGTTCCATGTTTTTTCTTTTCTCTGCAGGCAGTGAATATAAAGACATGTTAAAAAAATAGAACTAAAGGTGTTGAGAATAACTCTTGTAATTAGGCAGCACATCAGATGTTTGATTGCTGGGAGATACGTGATCAAATTATGTGGTTTCTATCCTCTAGTGTGGTGAGGGTAAAAGCAGTTAATATCTGTGTGTCAAAGTCCGATTGATAAAAGTCAGGTTAAGAATTTTGAGTGCTTGAGCTAATGCCAGCCTGACTTCCCCTTGAAATTAATATTTCCAGGGAAATCTCCAAAGCAGATAGTTGGTTTTGGAGTTTCCATGGCATCAGGCTGGGGTGAGTAGGAGCAATGCAGCTGAATAACAATTCAGGTAATTAGATGGTGAGTAATTGGTAGTGTTTAATGCAAAATTCACCTTTTTAAAATTTCTATCCTGCTGTTATATTGTTAGTCTATTATGCTGTATCATCCTTAGTATCAACAAATATTAAATGTTTTTCCTAAACATGGCAGTGTAGCTTTTATTGGGTAATCTTAGATTAGAAGTGGTTGGACTATCTTTGAAAAGGCAGAATGGATTTTAATGATGCTTCTGGAATGGCAACCAGAAGAGGAAGACAACTGAAGGAGCTTGTTTGCTACTCAATCTTTTTATTCCTTTTTTGGTAGAAGAAAAGCTGATGTCTTTGCTATTCTCAGTAGGGCTAGGTTTAAGGACATGGGGGGAAGTTGGCCTCTAAGGACAACTCTTCTTCACTAACTGAGCCAACAGCTTCAGAGAAAATGTGCAATCCAGTGTTGGAGGTCTGAAAGTTGCGCAAATCTAAATAAACTCTCAAAAGACTATGCCATGGGCACTTACAGCTAAGTAAGACATGCATTTTTTGAGACATTGTCAGGATGCAAATGGTTTTTTTATTCTCTAATTGTGTACCTGAAAATAATTCATTCCACTGTTCCTACTTTTATTTCATTTTCAGTTTTGAAGGCAACAAATCAATTGGTTAACGTTCTAAGAACTGAACTACCTCCAAGGTTTTAAGCATTCATTTCATTGTGATTCCTTATAATCTTTTGAACAACTGCTCTTTGCTGCTGATCACCAAATTCCCGATGCTATTTCTGCTCAGTTCTATGGAAGAAGACTGATGCTTAGCAGAGCAGTTGTGATGGCTCTGTAAATTAGCAACACAGACAATATTTGTCTGTATGTATTCTCGCTTAAGTTCAGCTGTACTATTTGCTCACATCCTGTCTTTCAGCTACCTACTTTAACACCTAGCTGCTTTACTGTTTCATGGCAGAAAGTTGCTCAACAATGTGAGGCACAATGTCTGCTCTGTTTTGTTTGTGGGGGTTTTCTGTTTGTCTGTTTTGGGTTTTGTTTTGGTTTTTAATAAAAGAGTTCATCAGTTCTGTTGCTAGCTAGCTTTAGGTCAGGGACCGAGTAAAAGGTTAAAATTAAAATGTCTCTTCACTGCTACTGAGTGAGTAGATAGATGAAAGGGGAAAAAAGAAAGGGGGGGAAAAAGCAAACAACAAACCTTTCTGTGGATCTATACATTTGCTCTGTCTCTGGGTTTGAATTGTGCTCATGACTGTAATGTAACTGTCTTCATTAAACAAAAAAAAATGACAGTTTACAGAGCCAAGCCAAGACCAATATTTTTAAGACTACTTAGTTCCTATAGATGAATCCTATTTCACTAGAGGAAGTGTTTGAAATAGCTGTTTAGGACTGAAGTAATTTCACTTCAAAGTGCAGAAAACAATTTTTTTTTCCTGTGTCTTGGAATGAGAACTTGGGCTATAGTCTAGTATATCAGCCCTGCTACTCCGTTGCTTTCATAAATATTGATCTGGAAATACTTTTCAATATACATGTAAGCAATATAGCCTAAAACATGCATCCTAGCTGGAGTCACATCGCTCCTTTCATTAACTGATAATGAAGCACTCTTTTGCCATAGCAAGGTTGGAGCTCTTTTGTTTTCTCCTGTCCACTGTACTAAGTAGACACATGAGAAACATAAGCTTTAACATGTGTTTGTTCAGAGAGCAGCTTTGAATATTTTTGGAAAGTCATTTTTATTGTTTACCTTCAGAATAGGTTAGATAGTACAGTTATTGTGTAGATTGTTCTGAGGCATGTGCTTTTTTAAAAGACACAGTGGTATTCCAGTGCATAATAGACTGTAAGAAGTAAAAATTAAAAATATTCCACTAGCTTCGGCTTATTTCTTTAATACTCTGTAGAGAACAAGTTGTTGTGGTGTGTATGGGGTTTTTTTTTTTGTCTTTTAAAACAATTTCATTTGGACAAGTAGGTTTAGACAGGATTCTTTTATGAGTGTTCTCTGTATTATCAGATCATATCAAGACTCTTAGAAAAAGGCGAAAGATCGAGTCCTCCGACCCCTTTTCACTGTAGACGCTAGTAGCAATATGAAAGTTTGTGCTATATTAATATTATTTGCAATATATAAAGCCAGTATTTTGGGTATCTACAGAATTACATCAATGTAATTATAAGGATACAAAATTAGAGAATAATAACTGAAATCCGGCTTGAAGAGACAGATGGGTTTTAGCTGCTTTGAAGAGAATTTGATTGCTCTTGGGAAGAAATCTGGTTCTCATTGGAATGAATGTTTTGTCATTTTTTGACTTGTGGCCAGAATTTTAGCCAGAGTATGAAATAGTTACATTTTTCTCTTCTTCCTAGGTAATTTTTGAAATCTCTTGAGATTTCTTTTTTGTTTTGTGATATTTTTTTCCCCTTTGTGATTGAAACTTGTGAAAGGGCAAATCTGAATTAGTTTTTGAGGCTGGGCAGAGCACTTTCTGCTTCTAGAGACATAGGTACTCACAGTGAAATATGCTGAAATATGCTCTACTTCTTAGGGAAAATAAGCTTGCTAAAATAGCATTGTTTAGTTCCATCACTAATTTCTTACAGTAATTTAGTTATTTTTGAGCAATTTAGTGTTAATTAGCTTAATTTTTTTGATAATTCCCTTCTTGAAAAGACTTGATAGTAAGCTTTAAATTGTCAGTTTGATTTCTCAAATGAGTAATTTATTATGGGAAATCAGACTTGTAATGTGTCTACTTCTAATACATTTACTTCTGTAGAATGAAGTGTTCTAGATATTGCCTTCTACCAATTTTTCTGGCTTTATCTGTACATTCTATTCAGCAGGTTAATGTCAAAGCCATAGTTCTTGTTCTGTAGGAAATTGGTCTTTTGAAATTTTGGACTGTTTTCTTACAGCTGTAATAAAAATACAAGTGCAAATAAGCTTAAGATAATGTAAAAGTATTGATTAAACAGCTATTCAGATATATAAGAATTGTTTTTGAAGTAGTATTTAGGAGATTTTTATGAAGTGTGAATCCCTTAGAGGTTACTGTTTGAGATATCCTGCCCAATGTAGTTTGTTTTTGTTTTTTTTTTTTTTTTTTGATGGAACAACATAGTACTGTGATAGAAGTGCTGAAATTATTTTGGAAACAGTACAATGCAAATTCCAAACAGGTAAACATTGGTTCTCCGTACTGTGCTAGCAGCACTGTATAACAGCCATTGGAAGGATTTTCAGCACAAAATCTTTCTGAATTAAAAGCAATGTTTACAGACTTGAACACAATTTAAGTAGTTTCCTGAAAATTAGTTGCAAATACTGCAGTTGATTTATTGAGGCATTCAATACAGTGTTCAGAAAGTCTTGTGCTTCATTTTCATCCATTTAACAGGGTGTAGCGAAACTAAGTATGTATCTTTTCTCAGCACAGACATTTCTTTTTTTGATACAACTTCCTAA